GCATCATCCGCCCCACGGGCACCGTGATGTATGAGGTGTCAACAGAGGACGGGCAAGTCCTGTGGCGACACATCGACCAGCTTCGTCGGCGCCTGCTCCCAGAACAGACGGACGCAGAGGAGCGGGAACACGGAGTTGGCCCAGAGGGGGCCCCCCTGCCTCACCAGTGCAGGACCCGCCCATGAAAGAGCGTCCCGACAAGGCCCCCAACGCCCCGGAGGCCACGGAGGAGGCCCCAACAGCCGGCGCTCCGGAACCAGAGGGGCCGGCACCACAGGCGAGCCCCAGCACGGGAAACGGGGCCCCCGAGGTCCCTATTCCGACCCCCAGATGATCCACCAGGGAGCGGCGGCCCCCGGTGTACCTAAAGGACTATGTGACATGGGGGGGCGAACCATGGGGGGAGGGATGTTGTGTCCGCTGGCCGCCATCAGGGGCCAGCGAGCACCCAGGGCTTGACCCTGGGTGGACAATGGGAACTGGTCTCTTGGTCTCTCCAACGGGGAGCCAATAGAAACGGGGAGGGAAGTTCGAACCTCCCAATGGGATCCAGGGGTGTCCCCTGGATATGTATATAGTTGGCCTCCTGGCTGTTTGTCTTTGTCTTAGTTGCACCATGTTATGGGAGCTGAGTGGGCCTAGCCACGCGGTCAACCCACTACACAATACTGGCTCTCCAGAAGCTGGGTGTCACGAGCCAGAACTCAGAAGCCAGGGAGCCAGGCTGAGTCCTTTCCTTACCTGAGAATCTTCTCAGTCAGAAGGAGCCAATGACTGGCCAAGGGGAGTTGACCCATGAATGCACACTGCTGTCAGGCCATAGGTCTATCAAGGCCAGTGTTGTCTATTCTGACTTGCAGCAACTTTCCAGGGACTCCGGTAGAGATCTTTCCCATCGTCTACTGCCTTTAAGCTGGAGACTCTAGACCTGGGTCGGGGGTGCTGAGAAAAGGCCCTGCCCAGCAGAGTTGCTCTGAAACCCAGGAGGCAGGACTATTTGTGGACAGGAACGCACAGGAACGGAGTTCCGGCTGGCCCCTGAGTTGGGCACGCCCAGCAGGAACTCATTAGCATAATAGGCCACACCTAACAGCAGACACTCATTAGGATTGGCTACATTAGGGGTGTGTGGCCTAACATGCAAAGAGGTTCCTGCTACCAAAAAAAGCCCAGGGTTTTGACAACAAAGTAAACAGAATAAGAAGCAAAAGGTGGGTGTGGTTGGATGACCACACTTCTGGTAACATGTGGGGTGTGTCTTAATTTGCTAACGAGCTGTGCTGTCAGGGGTGTGGGATAATATGCTAATTGTTTCTGCTGTTGGGTGTGGCCTATTCTGCTAATGAGTTCCTGCTGGGCTTTTTCTACAAAAAGAGCCCTGCCAGGAGGCATCAGGATAGCAGCAGCTTTCTGCTCCACTCCTGAACTTTTGTTTTATCCAGTTTCTTTTAGTTTACTTTTAAGTCATGGTGGTTGCATTTTGGAGGTGGTGGTGGTGGTGGTGCAAAGTGCAGTCAAGTCACAGCTGACTTATGGTGACCCCGTAGGGTTTTCAAGGCAAGAGACGTTCAGAGGTGGTTTGGAGGAAAGAAGGAGGGTTTGTTCTCCTGAAAACTGGTATACTTCTTCTTCTGGAGCTTCAGAACCTAAGAACCCTTTGTTACTTAAGTGGTGCTGAAACTTTTTGTGCTGGTGACTTGCTGCATGGTATAGCAACACTGATACTCAAGAGTTCCTGGTTTCAAACTCAGCAGGTAGAACCATGTTTGCCATAACTTATGCTTGCTCTGTGGGGCTGTAATGAATGACTTTCGCCGCGTGTTCCAGGTGAAGGTGCTGCTGCCCTGTTAAACAGCTCCTTGTGAACCCTGGCTGCCCCTCCCTTACACACACTCTGTTATTGCAGCTTTTTTTGGGGGGGGGATAGATGAGCGTTAGAACTGGCCCGCCTCCACCTGCATAGCCTTGCTGACATTTATCAGTTTTTTTCTTATTAGTTCAACATGTCTTGGATACAGAGCGGCCATTCTTCCCTCTCTTGGTTTCCAGGTTCGGCATCCATCCGGTTGCGGGCCGCATGCCAGGGCAGCTGAATGTTCTGTTGGCAGAAGCCGGTGTGCCTTATGACGTGGTGCTGGAAATGGATGAGATAAATGAAGATTTCCCAGGTAAAGAATAAGAGTTGAATTTTTAAAAAAAATAAAGAAAAGAACTGTGGCTTATCTTCTGTTTGAACCATCCCAAGAATTTTAACTTTTAATGTCTGCTTCTTTAGTTAGGCCAAAGTGTAATCACTGTGTCTCAAGTAGTATTTTTGGCTGATATGGTAATACTTTTCAAATGCCCTGACTGAAAGCTAGATAAGATGGAAGCTTTGTGTGGCTCACAGAAAAGGATGAATAAAATCAGATGGATCCCCTCTCAGTGAAATACTTACTAATCCTTATCAGTGTAGTGATTAAGAGCGGTGGGCTCTAATCTGGAGAACCAGGTTTGATTCCCCAATCCTCCACATGCAGCCAGCTGGGTGACCTTGGGTCAGTCACAGTTCTCTCAGAGCTGTTCTCTCAAGAGCAGCTCTCTCAGAGCTCCTCAGCCCCACCTACCTCACAGGGTGTCTGTTGTGGGGTGGGGAAGGGAAAGGAGTTTGTAAGCTGCTCTGAGACTCTGAGTGAAGGGCGGGATATAAATCCAAGTCTTCTTTTTCTTCCTCCTCCTCCTCTTCCTCTTCTTCCTCTGTCAGCATTGTGACATTGTGAATAATAGGTTGTATCTAGAAGGTTCTGCTATGGTGCTTGGATGCTTCCAAGTGGTCCAGTCCTGTGTCATACCTGTGGGCACTTTTAGAATTTTGAGAGCAGGCAGTAGGTGCCACAATAAAATGTCAGCCATTTTTTTTTGGGGGGTCAATCACAAAATGGCTGCCATGGGGGCTAGGTCTGATCACCAGATCTCTTGAGGTTCCATTCCACACAATGTTAGGAGGTTCCAGGCCAAGCGTCCTCCTACAATGGAGGCAGCCATTTTAAGATGAGTGTTCCCAGCAGGCAGAAAGATTATGTCTCCTAGGCTCTTCTGAAGCCTCTCCTGCTCCAATGACGTGCAGGAAAGCCAGGAGGAGCATTCTGTTTTGTTTTGGGGAAGAGATTTTTGGGAGAAGATGCAAGTGGCCACCAGGAAACACGTTGGCAGGCACCACGGCACCCAAGGGAATCACCATTGTAATATTACAAAAGGTCTGTTGGATTTAGCCAGAGTCCGTCTGGCCCAGCTTCTAGCAGAGGCCAACCAGATGCTTTTCAGAATCTTACAAGCCTGGCCTGAGGACAACAGTCCTTCCCTTTTTGTCTGTTGCTGTGGGCAGAAACCACATGGATGGCACAAGCAGAAGACACGGAGCATTTGGCTTCTGCAGGGTATATCTACCTGGAGAAAGTAAGAGGAATGCACCCATTATTCCACCATGCAAAGCCATGGAAAGTTGTGTGAAGTAAGGCTCTGACTAGCTGAGAGTGAATGTCTGGACTGATCAGGGATTTTTGAACCTAGGTCTGCCCAGTCCAACACTCTTTTCCTGACACCACAACCAGTGTTCCCTCTAAAGTGAGTTAGTGTGAGCTAGTTCAGTTTTTTAGCCTCCTGCTCACATAGTTTTCTCTTAGCTCAAAAAGGATGGCTCGAGTCCAGAGCAAACTAATTTATGCAATAGCCAAATTGCTCACTCACAACTTTACTGCCAGTAGTTCACAAAGTAGAATTTTGGCTCACAAGGCTCTACAGCTTAGAGGGAGCATTGAGCACAACAGCTTCTTAGTATAGCTTGATCAGTTGCAAGCAAGTCTTTAAATAAATAGCTCTGTTGAGCAAAACTCCATCTGGCTTGTATGTTATGCAAGGCCCCTAAAGACTCATGTCAGAGAAGACAAATGGATTAGCTTCCCCCCATCAAAACTGATGTAAATAACGTGGTGTGTTTGGTTTGTTCTTTGTTTTTTATTTGGGGCCAAGTTAAATAGTTTTTTGGTTTTTTTAATGCCCTACACAGTGCATTTGACTGGCAGTCCTACCAAGCCCGTAACGCCAGACCCAGTCAGTTAACAAAGTTCAGGCAACGTTCTAGACTGCAGGGGGGCCAGCCCCTCTTACTTTTCCCGAAGGAACAGACCATGGCGAAAGGGCACGGGAGTTTTTGTGCTGAATCATAAGGAGGCTTGTGTCTGTGGATGTCCCTGCACTGTAAAGTAATTGCTGCTGCATCACTATATAACTTCTGCAAACTGGGCATATTTGCACAAATCTGGTCAGGTTTTTTCCCCCTCCATAGTTTATTCTGCTTCTGGTGGCCATGGGGACAGGAAAAATAGCTTCATGGGGTCTGGAAATCCTGCCCCAATGAAATCAAATTCAGCACATACATGCCAGCTGCTGATTTCACTATTTATTTATTTATTTATTATGAGATTTATAGCCCTCCCTCCCCGCGAGCGGGCTCAGGGCAGTTCACTAACTGGGCATATATGCCAATGGTTAAAACAGTTAAAAACAAGATAAAACAATCATTTATAGTCATTTATAACAATACCTGGCGTGATCTGGTCCATGGGGTCGCAGAGAGTCGGACTCGACTGTGCGACTGAACAACAACAAATAACAATACAAGGTGCTCTAGATGTCTCAAAGAAGGTCTTCAGTAACTAGATGACATCCTGATGGTGATGATCCCAGATCGGTGCTATCAGTTCCAGGCAGCACTATCGTTCATTGTCACAGGGCCATCTCACTCCCTGATGTTACCCAGCCTAGTTGGTGGTGGTGGTGCAGCGGTGGTGGCTCCTACATGAAAGCCTGGCAGAAGAGCTCCATCTTACAGGCCCTGCGGAACTGCGCAAGGTCCCACAGGGCCCAGATCTCCTCCGGGAGCTTGTTCCACCAGGTAGAAGCCGCCACCGAAAAGGCCCTGGCCCTGGTTGCTGTAAATCTGGCATCTTTGGGGCCTGGAATCACCAGGAGATGTTGCGTCCCCGACCATACTGCCCTTGGGGGAACATATGGGGAAAGGCGGTCCCTTAGGTATGTCGGACCCATGCCATATAGGCTTAAAGGTAAGAACCAGCACTTTGAAGTGAATCTGGTACACTATTGGCAGCCAGTGCAGCGCTTTCAGCACAGCCTGGATGTGCTCCCGCTTAGAGAGACCCATCAACAGCCTGGCTGCAGCATTCTGCACTAGCTGCAGCTTCCGGATTTGCAACAAAGGCAGCCCCATGTAGAGAGTGTTACAGTAGTCTAACCTCAAGGTAACCGTCACATGGATCACTGTGGCCAGGTCATCGCGGTCAAGGAAGGGAACCAACTGCCGCACCAGCTGGAGGTGGTAAAAGGCCGACTTGGCAGTGGCTGCCACCTGGGCCTCCATCGTTAAAGAGGAGTCCAGGAGCACTCCCAAACTCCTAACCTCAGACGCTGGCACCAGAGGCGCCCCATCGAAGGTCAGTAGAGGGACCCCCAACCTCAAACCGACCCGACTCAGGCCCAGGACCTCTGTCTTCACCGGGTTTAGTTTCAGCCGACACAGTCTGAGCCAACCAGCCACAGCTTGCAACGCTCGGTGAAGATCGTTTGGGCTGGAGTCCGACTGGCCGCCCAACATCAGATAGATCTGGGTGTCATCTGCATATTGATGGCACCCAAGCCCATATCTCCAGGCAATCTGGGCAAGGGGGCACATATAGATGTTGAACAACATCGGGGACAGCACCACCCCCTGAGGCACCCCACATACAAGAGGATGTCTCCGGGACTGCTGATCCCCTATCGCCACCCTTTGTCCCTGACCTTGGAGAAAAGAGGCAAGCCATTGTAGGGCGAGCCCCTGAATCCCCACTAGATGGCAGCACTGCTGTAGGGCTCTCTCTACAGCGGGGGTCCCAAACACCATGCCAGTGAGTTCCATGGTGCCCACAGACCCCTTTTCTGGCACCACCCAAGCACCTTTGGGAAGTGGGCAGGGCCAGGTGGGGCTTTTGCCCAGCAAGGCTTTTGATTGACTATTGGAGATTTGGTTGGCTGTGTAGATTTTTTTAAAATGTCGCTTTGGCAGCAGCTGCCACTGCAGCACAAGGATCTGCACTATGTGACTGAAGTGAAGCTGTGGTAGCCATTTTGCGTCTGGCTCCACCTCCTGCGGCAGCCATTTTGTGGCAGCCGTTTTGTTGCTGCAACCACCATGCAAGGTCAAAATTCCGAATGTGCCCACGGGCTCAAAAAGGTTGGGCTCCCCTGCTTTACAGCTACCCTCAGGGCTAGGAACATAAGGCTAGGTCATCATGGCCACAGTGCATACTGATCTGGCTAGTCTGCCCGGAGAATAGCAGTGATCAGAGTGAGAACTGGCGCGGTTGGTCTCATTCTGGATTTAAGGTGCCAGGTCACCTGCAGAGCCCATATGAAGGAGCATCAAGACAGATGTTCTTTCTTTGGTTATTTATGCATCTCTAAGCTCTAATGATTAAAAGAACCCTGTTCAGCCTACCAGAGCAAACTGAAGCCATCAAATATACTTTCTGCACCCTTCTTCTGTTGGCCAGGAAACACTTCATTGATAACTCTGTTTCTGCTCCCATCTTCCAGGGAACTGAAAATCTTTGGTGAAGAGTTAGAAAGCCTTGATATAAAGTGGTTCGCTTTTTCAAGTTCTGAAGCATTCTTTATTTTGCAATGAGTTGTCTTTCTCTCTCAGGCACAGACTTGGCTTTGGTAATTGGCGCCAATGACACCGTGAACTCCGCAGCCCAGGAAGATCCGAACTCCATCATCGCTGGCATGCCTGTCCTGGAGGTCTGGAGAGCCAAGCAAGTGAGTGGTGGTGATCACAGAGGCAGAGGGCCGTTGATTAGACTCTGAAACGGTTGTTCCCCATCAGGACAATCAGAGCTAACTTTCTGATTGGGAGCGGAAGACTTTCTCCTTCGATAAGAAATTTGTGTGCCTAAGAGCAACTCTTGTGAAACCAATTGAGAAGCTAGCCAAATCCCTTGATGGCCTTAAGGCTCAGATCTTTTGAGGTCCTGATTTTGCAAATAAATGGGTAAGCTGGGACACAACAGCAGCTGTGTGTCAGTGCCACATTGTCTTGGCACTCAGTTTATGACCTAGCATTCATTATGATGTGATAGGCTTGCCAAGTCCCCCTGGGGGGGTGGGGAAACCCCCGCCCCAGAGGCCCGTTCCCCGCCGCTGGCGGATCGGGCCCTGGGGGGAATCCCATCCCCAAAGTACGCGATGTGCATGTCACCCGGAAGTGACGCGACCATGCCGGGCACGCTGGGGGTGGGGCCATGGTCATCCGAGGGAAAACTCTATGGTTTTCCCTTGGGTGGTCGTGGCTCCGCCCCCAGTGTGCCCGGCGTGGTCGCGTCACTTCTGGGTGATGGGGCTGTGGCGCGCGCGCTCCAGGAACAAGCCGGGAGCCACCCGTTCTAGCAGCAGGTAAGACTTGGCAACCCTATGATGTGATTGGGGGCCAGCTCTGGGGGAGTGAGTGCCAGTTTGTACATTCCAAAGCTAAAAGTCATGAAATATCTTTTATTAGTGAGCAAGCTCGTGAGTTCTTCAGAACTCTGCAGCTAGGGTTGCCAGGTCCCCCCCCCCGGTGCATGAATGAGGGGTCCCCTGATTTCTGGTGCTCCCTCCCAGCACCAGCCAGCTGGCGGGGGAGAGTTACCACCCCCGAATGCGACGTGCCCTGGGGGTGTTTGTTTGTTTTTTAAAAGAAGAGGTGACAGAATTCTCACGAGGGAAATGAAGTTTTCAATTTGTATACTGAGAACTCATGAACTTTTAAACATTTTTAAAAGGATTTTGTCGAAGAGGTTCCGGAACTCTGTTCCAGCGCGTTCCCCCAGGGGGAAAAGCCCTGTGCCTTCGTCACCTGGAAGTGATGTAGGCACGGTGGTGATGCTGGGGGGGCAACGCTCTGGTTTTTGGGCAAAACGTTAATGGTAGAATTAGTTTCAGACTGTAGAGTTTTGCCCCAAATGCAGAGCATTGCCCCCGATGTTTGCAGTGTGCCTGTATCACCCCAAGGTGACGTAGGCACAACATGCTTCTTCCCTCCCCTCTCCCAGAGCATCCCGGTGAGTCACCCTCCAGCTTGTCTTTCAGAGCTGGCAATCCTGCCCGCAGCAGGATGGATGTGGATTAAGCAGAGGTCGATTCGCAGAGGTCGATTCGGGGGAACCACGGGGGATCACAGTTCCCCCGGGTGAGGTGCAGGGGGACGGGGCACATGACGAAACCCCGCCCCCTGCTTCCGGCCGCCCCCTGCTTCCAGCCTCATTCTGTTGCAGAAGGAGGAGGGTAAGTTGGCGTCCTCCCCCTCTGCCTGGCCGAGGCCACTTCACGTGGCCTCCGCAAGGACTCCCAGCCACATTCAGGAGCTTCCCCGAGGTAGCTGTGTTAGTCTGTTGCTGCAAAATAGTCCAAGAGTTCAAATAGCACCTTTAAGACTAACAAATAGCACCTTTAAGACTAACCTTTAAGACTAAGACTGAGTGGTGGGTGTGGCCTTATGACACACTTCCGGTGATGGCAGGGGGTGTGGCCTTATGACACACTTCCGGTGATGTTAGGGGGTGTGGCATATGCTAATGAGTTATGCTAATGAGTCCCCCCAGCTCTTTTTCTACGAAAAGACCCCTGGGATTAAGCACATGCAGCTGTGCATGGGGAAGTGTATTTTCATGGCCAAAAGATGGTGCCTGCAGTCCAGAATACATTTTCTTGACCAGTGTTATTTCTACAGTACATTCAATGTCATTACTTGGGCAACCTCTTTCACGCCTCTTCTACTGTCTCCCCAGGTGATTGTCATGAAGCGCACCCTGGGCGTTGGGTATGCTGCCGTTGACAACCCCATCTTTTACAAGCCCAATACCTCAATGCTGCTTGGTGACGCCAAGAAGACTTGTGATGCTTTACAAGCCAAGATTAGGGAAAGCCATGCTCATTAAAATGTTTCCAATCAGACCAGATAGGGCACAATCCAACACTACTGATTGCACTGAATGAGTTCAGGACTTTGAGATCAATGGATCTTAAAATGTACAATGTGTGCCCTTTATTGGTATAATTCAGAAAGATTTCTATATAGCTGTACCAGGGTATGGATGGAAGACATAGGAGAAAGCCACATGGCTGAAGGTCAGCACATCTGGGTTGTTTCAGTGCCTGGATCGGACACCTCTTGTATGCTGCCTCGAGTTTGACGGTGAAAGAAAGGGTGGATGGAGCAATAAGTAACCCCTCAGATATGCAGGTAGGAACACCTGTGAAAATAAATGTGAGAAATGTGTGTGGCTTTTGTGCCTTAATGGATGAAACTGTAAATCTCTGTATTTATTTTTTAAAAAGAAAGTATCCCATCGTTTGCTGATCAGCTGTTTTTGTTTCTGACATCATCACTCCCATTGCAGACAAACATTTCAAATAAAACATGGTACCTGCCCATTCCCTGACAGGGCAGGCTAGCCTGATTTCGTCAAATCATGGAAGCTGAGTGGGGTCAGCTCTGGTTAATACTTGGATGGGACACCACTGAAGTAGTCCAGGGTTGTTACGCAGAGGCAGGCAATGACAAATTACCTCTGTTCCCCTCTTGCCTTGAAAACCCTATGGGGTTGCCATAAGCCAGCTACAACTAGATAGCAAAAGAAAAACATGTTGCCCGTTAGGGTTGAGCAACTGGCTATCTCACACCCACTGAGTGATACCATCTGCCATCTTAGTTGCCAGGCAAGAGAGATGCACCGAAGGCGATGCGACTTTGAGCAACTTTCTAGCCATCCATTTTGGGCCAGTGTACAGCTGGCCTAGTCCACCATCTGCACCTCAGTGCTGCTATGCTACAGATTAAAACTAGTTGCTCACCAGGAGAAACGTGGGTGACTCACTTTTAGGTAGGCATATTAATTCCTGTTTTCCTTGCATGGGTCTAACCCAGGGTCTAAATGTTAGGCCTGGGGTTACTTTTCTTGGGGCAGATCAGTTTGGCCCACCGGGGCCATGCTCTGCATATTGTCTTGTGGTCTTTGTTTTTGCCCATGCTGATTAACACTGGGTTCTGTATAAAAGCTGGGTGTATACCTCCATTAGGGAGCTGCGGTGGCTCAAGTGGTTAAGACGCTGAACTGCAGGCTGTGGAAGGTCGGTAGTTCAGCAGTTCGAGACCCGGGTGCCGCATGACAGAGTGAGCTCCCATCTCTAGTTCCAGCTCCTGCCAACCTAGCAGTTCGAAAGCAAGAAATTGCAAGTAGATAAATAGGTACCACTTCAGTGGGAAGGTAACAGCATTCCGTGCGCCTTGGTGTTTAGTCATGCTGACCACATGACCACGGAAACGTCTTCGGGCAGTGCTGGCTCTTCGTCTTTGAAACGGAGATGAGCACCGCAACCCTAGTGTCGGACTGGCTTTAGAGCAAGGGAACCTTTACCTTTTTATACCTCCATTAATCTTCCTGGGAGAGAATACTAAACATGACTTAACTGTGGTTCAGCTGCTCTTGGCCTGGATACCAAGTGTTCGTTCCCCTTGCCCCTTAGTCAGGAGCTTTGCCCTTCTTATCAACAGCATCAAAATTTCCAGAACCGGTGCCTTCATTTTGGGAGCTGTCTTTTGGAGTGACACTAGCTGCTGTGCAAGAAGCTGCAACAAAAAGGAAACGTGGAAGACTGACCCACACCCCTCTCCTGCCCAAGGGTTCTGATCCTCATGTTTTATTTAATGGAAAAATCCAACTTGTTAGTGTTGCTTCTAAAAGGAACCAAACCCAGTCTGCAAAAACTTTTTATCACAACACTTTTTTTCTTTGCGAAACATGTTTTTTATTTAAATGTGATGTGGAAGAAATCAAGAGTCCCCCCCCCCACCTTCTGTTTGGTTATTGTATAATCTATTAGGTCAGGAGGCACATATTTTGGGTGCCCTTTCAATGGTCAGAAGTTTGTCCTTTTCAATTATAATCCAGCAGCCCTTTCACAAAGCTGTTTTAGAATTTCTTAAGAAAAGTCCAAAGGAGTCCTTGTTGTGTAATACACACACACACACACACACACAAAGTTGATCAAAATCCCTATAGAGGAAACAATATTCATCACTGCACAAAGTCAAAATGTCCTTTTCTTGACAGCAATAAAAGTGTGAATGTTGAAGGCATTTTCTGTTCCAGTTGATTAGACAAATAGCTGCTAATGACATTTCTTCCTGTACAAACATTACACATTTAGTTTTGTATTGCATCGGCAGTTGTAGCAAAACAGGCCCTGATCCAGAGAAACTTGAAGGGTGCTTTATTTTATTATAGATTGTAGCTGTAAAGATGGATCCAAAGGAAAATAGCCGCAAGCGCCATTTTACAAATGCTTGAGCAACAATTCAAGTCATGCTGTAACAGAGGCTGTTCTTACATTCCCATTTGTGCAACTTGAAAAACATCTTTTGATTTAGTTGCTCTTTTTTCACGAGACACTCTAACATAGTTGCACGAGCAGCCCTTCCACGAGCAAAAGACTGTGCCTTCTACCTGCAGCACCTGCACTCCTAAAAGTTACACCTGGGGTGACTCAGCTGAGGATGGAAGCTCTTGTATTGCTGTTTTTCTGTTCACAGTAGTGAAAAACAGTTTTCCTGTGCCAGGCTCTGTATCTCAAACAAGAAAGAGGCTCTCTCTTTTCTTACAATACCTGATGCTGTCAGTAGTTGTAGGTAGACAGGGAGGAAAAAAACCCTCCACAGAGTGGAACTTTTAGTTAAAACTCCCCTCATTCACGGCTAGAAGATGATAGCTTCTACCTTAGGTGGTTTTAAAAAGGGATTTGTCAAGTTCCTCGGGGACATCTCTGAGACTAGGCATCCGACAAAGGGAGGTTTTGCTCTTGAAAGCTTATACCCTGAAAACCTTGTTGGTCTCTAAGGTGCTACTGGAATTGAATCTGGCTCTCTGACTAGTTTATTTATTTTATTTTATTTATACCCCGCCCTCCCCGCGTGCGGGCTCAGGGCGGCTTGCAACAATATGGCACTCAGTGCAATAAAACACAATAAAACAATTTAAAAACAATTTAGTACAGTGGGCGATGCCCAGGATCCCACGTGACTAAAACCCTCTCTCCATATTGCACATGCCCTTACATCCAGAGGGAGGTTACTGTGGCCCCCAGATGTTCTTTGGCCACTCAGCCTCCGGTGGTGCCGCTATATAGGCCCCTGTTGGTGGTAGTGGTGACGGCGGCAGCTCCTATTCGAAAGCCTGGCGGAAGAGCTCCGTCTTGCAGGCCCTGCGGAACTGCAACAGGTCCCGCAGGGCCCTGATCTCCTCTGGGAGCTCTTTCCACTAGATAGGAGCCGCCACCGAGAAGGACCTAGCCCTTGTGGCAGCAAGCCTGGCCTCTTTAGGGCCCGGGGTCGCAAGACGATGTTGCGACCCCGACCGAAGTGCTCTTTGGGACCTGTGTGGGGCAAGGCGGTCCCTCAGGTATGGCGGACCCTGGCCATGTAGGGCTTTAAAGGTAAGCACCAGCACTTTGAAGCGAATCCGGTATGCTATAGGCAGCCAGTGCAGCGCTTTGAGCACAGGCTGGATGTGGTCCCATTTTGAGACACCAGCAACCAGCCTGGCCGCCGCATTCTGCACTAGCTGCAGCCTCCGAATTAGCGACAAAGGCAGCCCCATGTAGAGAGCGTTGCAGTAGTCTAGCCTTGAGGTGACCGTCGCATGGATCACTGTGGCTAGGTCTTCGCGGCTGAGAAAGGGGACCAACTGCCGCACCAGCCGAAGATGGTAAAAGGCCGCTTTGGCAGTGGCTGCCACCTGGGCCTCCATCGTTAAGGTGGAGTCCAGGAGCACTCCCAAACTCCTAACCTCCGAAGCTGGCACCAAAGGCGCCCCGTCGAAGGCCGGGAGCGGGAGCCCCAATCCCATCCCGTTCCGACCCAGGCACAGGACCTCCGTCTTCGCCGGGTTCAGCTTCAACCGGCTCAGCCTGAGCCATCCAGATACGGCCTGCAACGCCCGGTGCAGATCTTCTGGCTCGGAGTCCAACCGGCCGCCCAACATCAGATAGAGCTGGGTGTCATCGGCATATTGATGACACCCAAGCCCATGCCTCTGCACAATCTGGGCGAGGGGGTGCATACAGATGTTAAATAGCATCGGGGAGAGAACTGCCCCCCGAGGCACACCGCATTCAAGCAGGTACCTCCGGGACCGCTGCTCCCCTAATTCCACCCTCTGTACCCGACCTCGGAGGAAAGAGACAAGCCATTGAAGAGCGAGCCCCTGAATCCCCACATCGGGGATTGCTAACCAGACAGCTGAATAGCAGCAACTGCAGCCTGCTGGAGTCTGCCCTGCTTGTGAGCATCCTAGAAGCATCTCACTTGCCCTTGCTGGAAACAGAACGATGGCAAAGATGGGTCTTTGGGCTAGCCCAACAAGGCTCTTCTTAGCTGTCTTTTTCTGCAGTAGTCTGACAGTAATATTGGAAGCAACAGGACAAAGGCCATCCGTTTCTGAGGTCCATCCCACTGTAAGCACTAGGGAAAAGAGTGCCTGTTGTAGCACAGCATCCGTGCACAGTGGGAAAATTACAAATGCTAGGTGCTCTAGAGAACATGCCTAAGCAGGTCGGATCCATTCAGTGGGGTTCTCTGGATTGTACTGTTAAAAATGCCCATCTATGCAGAACCACCTCAGTCAACAGGAGTAACCTGCATGAGATTGCAATGTTAGCAGTTTAACATATGGTATCAGATGCCCAGTAAGTATAAAAATGCTGCCTTGCACAGAAAAGCTGAAAGAGAAAATCAGACTGGTAAAATTCAGAGGGGAGGGAAGGCAGGATGACATAGCCTGATCTCGTCAAATCTCAGAAGTTCAGCAGAGTCAGTACTTGGAAGGGAGACCACCAAGGAAGACTCTGCAGAGGAAGCCAATGGCCAACCACCTCCGCTTCTCACTCGCCTTGAAAGCCCCTTGCTGGGGTCACCATAAGTTAGCTGGGACTTGATGGCATTTTACAAGCATAATGTTTAGAGACTTTCTCAAGGAAGATCAACAGAGAAGGTGAGTATTTCATGATATGGTTTATTATAAATCAAAGTCGTTCTTTGCAAATGTGGTTAGGAAACAGATGTTTACTGTGTATCTCCCCTTTCCCTCTGCCAATGTTATGGCTCACTGCAAACCTTTGGAAAGGAAAGTGAAAAAGAAAAGAAAGGGAGTTGGAAATAGTCTAAGCATTATCCCTAAAATAAGTATATTCAGACTTCCAGAGGTGACAGATTTTGCATTCAGTGTCTAGCTGACACTGGAGAAAACACACAAAAATTCCTTCCAAAAGCACATTTTGGTTTTTAGAAAGACAGAAATGTCACTGTGCTCCTGAGACCTTTCATCATCAGCCTGGTCAATGCTATCCACTGCAAAGAGCTGTCTGCAGAATCATGACTTCTGTGTTTTCACTTATAGCTACAGCATGTAGTGGCATTAAACTGGATTGTGCTAAAGCAGGAAAAGAAACAAGGGGGGGGGGATCCAGCTGGTCTTTACGCAATGGTGAAGTTTGCATAGCATCATCTTCAAAGTGATGTTCATGTTAGATCTGATGAGGTATCAGGACTGCACCTCTTATTATATAAAATCTCAAGTCTTGGGAAAGTGGGGAAAGCAGCAGCACATCTAAACAAACCGATTTCTGCTTTAGCACATTGCTGGAAACACAAGAAAATAAAAAAGTATAACAGCAGTTTGCTTCCCTGTGAGGCCTCTTCATTTATCACTGGAGGGGGAAGGAAGAAAGGGAAGCTGGCCCTGAGTGTACAGAAGACTAGGCATGCAACACACACACACACACACACCCGACCTCTGAATCCTCTGCAGTCTTTTAAAGCCAACTGCAAAAGTTTTTTCCCTCCTTTCTTAAATGTCAGCTGTTGCTTTGCTGAGAAGAATGTAACACTATTATCCCAGAATTCGGCAGGAAACCTTGAGGGGACAGCAGCAGAGTTCTCAATCTGCAAAGGGCATGTAAACAGCGGTTCCAGCCTAGTTGCTATTATAATATTAACAAAGCAGCTTTACAGCTTAAACACAAACATGTTTACTGTTGGCATCCTACCGAATGCATTAGTCTGGATTAGTCTAATGAAAACCCCTGTTTAACTCCTCTGCTCAGAGGCATAGCCCTGGTCAGTTTGCGGGATGAGCCGCATCTCCCTTGAGCAGCAGGCTGATCAGACAGCGTCTAATGAAAATGGTGTTCTGGTCCTTTTACAGGAGCCAATGACGTCACCAGAGTAAAGTCATCCTTGCTAGTGAAGAACATGTTCTTATACCGTGTAGCAGCCGAAGTAAACTTTAGTAGGTTTAAGAACAGAGGTTCCACGTTGGCATTTCTTGTTGGTCATTATACTCCTGAAAACATTTCATAGTTTTGCAGGCTTTTGCTGGGAGAGAGAGACTCCAAAGGAAATTTGCCTGAGGCACCGTACCAGGAGCTTGGATTCAAAGGACGAGGCTTCTGAACAGTCTTCCTGCTCCATGCCTGTCACTGTGACCTCTAAATGAACCAAGGGCAAAGAGGACTTCGGTCTTGCTTTTGTCCAAATTGCAACCAACGAGCCAATCCTGGCCTTATTCTTTGCCAGCAGAGCTCCTGGCATTTTTTATCAATTGGTACATAAATGAATAGAAGAAAAGCAAATTGTCATACTGTCCTTCGTATTTTTCTTTCAAGAGTTCCCTGTGGTAATCTACTAGAAAGTAATAAATTGCTTCGATGGTAGACAGGTACGTATCTGGCTTTCCTTTCTGATGACGCCAAAAGCAGGTTTTCCTCGATTTCAGTTCAATTTGTAGCAATGCTGTATGGGAGGGCAAAGGGGGGGGGGGGAGAAAGAACATTGATGCGTTTTACCAAATCTAATAACTGTGCCCTGACTTGGATGGCCCAGGCTAGCCTGGTCTCATCATATTTCAGAAGCGAAGCAGGGTTGGCTCTGGTTAGTACTTGGGTGGGAGACAACCAAGGAAGTCCAGGGTTACGCAAAGGCAGGCAACGACAAACCCCCACTGTTCGTCTCTTGCCTTGGAGTCACCGTGAGTCAGCCACAACTCAACAGCAGTGTTCCCTCTAAGCTGAGTTAGTGTGAGCTAGCTCAACAGTTTTTTAGCCTGTGGCTCACATATTTTTGCCCTCAGCTCAGGAAGGATGGCTCCAGAGCAAACTGATTTATGCAATAGCCAAATCGGTCACTCACAACTTTAATGCCAGTAGCTCACAAAGTTGGATTTTTGCTCACAAGACTCCACACCACAGCAAGGCTCTCTCTAAGCTGTGGAATCTTGTGAGCAAAAATTGCAGATCACTTTGTTACATCCTTGAAATATGTCACTGGTTAGGACATACATACCAAAATACTCTGTGCAATAGTGTTAGGGGGAATCATACTTGCATAGACATACCACCATTGAATGTGTGCCCAAGTAGACCTGCTGCCCCAGTTGTGACAATTTCTCAGTTAGCTCATAGACAGCAGCATCCAAACCTCCTGTGGGCAGTTCCTTAGCTCTGCCGCTTAACGGTCCGTGAAACAGGACTAGTGCTGGTTTGCCCATCCTCACCTTGGAGTCGCTCATCCGTGATGATTTTGTTGGTCTGATTCCACGTACTGTCAACAAATATGATTTTCTTCAGCCCTGTATTTTTGATCGCACTGTGAGAGCTGAGATCGCCAAAGTCGCTGTCGCTGGCTGGCTCCACTTTTGCATGCTTGAGAACCGGTTCCACTGGCAAATCGTTGACCCTTTTGCAACCCACTTTCTTTTCCAATTTGTTTAGCAAAGAGAGGGGAATGTCATTTACAGAAACTGAATTGGGTCCAGGAAAGATAAGTGCAATCTACAAAGAAAAACAAACAGACCCAAACCTGTGATCTTGGGTTACAATTTTAAAAAATGACACAGTGATAATGAGCACAAACTTTTCACGTGGGGATTTCAAATTTAAAGTTTACATAGCCCAGAGCTCACTGAGTGTCCTTCAACCAGCCCCTCCCTACGTACTGGAGATAATAACATTGGTCAGCACTACTTATTGTGATAGAAGAAGAAGAAGAGATTAGATTTATACCCCTCCACTCGGAGTCTCAGAGCATCTTACAATCTCCTTTCCTTCCTTTCCCCACAACAGATAACCTGTGAGGTAGATGGGGCTGAGAGAGCTCTTTTGAGAATCCCCTTGAGAGAACAGCTCTGAAAGAACTGTGGTTTGCCCAAGGTCACCCAGCAGCTGCATGTGAGGGAGTGGGAAATCAAACCCACTTCTCCCAGATTAGAGTCTGTGCTCCTAACCACTACACCCAAACTGATAGTTTTCCCCAAAGACCACAACTTGTAGTGTCCTGAATTTTAAAACGAGTGTACTTTGCAAACTGCAAGGTGGAGGGAGGAAGGAACAGTCCCCTTTATATCTTCCCCCCTTACAGCTATGCAATCTCTTACTTCGTGTTTCATCTCTTCATAGTCTGGAATACAAGGATAAGTGTAAATAGTAACATCTTCGGGTGCCAGGAGCTTGGCATGTACAGCTGTGCTCTTGCCATCTGTTTCATTGGGATGTTTAATGATGTCGACCTTCACGGGAAGCTGCAAACGAAACCACAAACATGTCCATAAAGAAAAGTATTCAGAGCTTCCTACATAATGCAAAACTAGGAACTCCTTTGACACTGTGCATATGGTTACGATCTAAAGGACACTTTCCTGGGAGTGAGCCCCATTGAGTAATCTGGGACTTCCGAGCAGACCTCCTTAGGATTGCTCCCACAGATCATCAAGCTCAAATTAAAACAAGAGTCCAGTGCCACCTTGAAGACTGACAAAATATATTCTGGATGCTTTTGTGAGTGAGAGCTTACTTTATCAAATGCTGAAGTGTTCTTTCTCCCAAATGGGGAATCCAAGTGACTTATACCTTGCCCCTCTGACAGAAAAATAAGGAAAAATATACAGCTATATGCAGTAGAGTTCTAACCCCCGGACTGGTCCTGAATTGACTGGGTAAGTAAGTAATTTGAATGGATACAAGATGCTGTTTTTAAATATGTTATTGGATGCCCGTGGTTAAAATGCTGGAACAGTTTATGCAGCCTGGGACCGACATATCTGAAGGACCGCCTCTCCCCATATATGACCTGGACAGCCTTGCACTTGGCGGACTATCATTTACTGGTTGTCCCCAGCCCAAAGGACATCCACTTAGCCTTGACCGGGGCCAGGGCAGAAGAAGCCCTGGCCCCAGCCTAGTGGAACATGCTCCTGTCTGAGATCAAGGCCCTGCAGGACCTAGAAGAGATATACAAGAGAATGAAACAAAATAAGAGAGGATTGGCAGGGGCAATATATAAGAAAATGATTTCAGATAAGGAACAAATAATTATACAATTACAAAGAAAATGGGAGACAGAAACACAAATAACAGAGCAAAAAGCTATAAAACTTAAGAATTGAATTAAAAAGATTAAATTACATAAGTTTAAAGAACTGGAATTAATTTTTTTTACCAAATGGTATAGAACCCCAGCAAAGTTGGCAAATATGTTTCCAGGACTAAGCCCTAACTGTTGGCACTGTAAAAACGTAAAAGGGTGGTATTCACATATGTGGTGGGAATGCCCAGAAGTTAAAACTTTTTGGAAAAATATAGTTGGGAAAATGAATAGATTATTTGCAGTAAATATAAACATAGATTTCGAATTAATGTTGATAAGTACAATAAGAGTGGAGACAATAGAGAGAAGGCACCAAGAGTTACTGAAAGCAATGGTTCTAGCAGGTAAAGCGGTTATAGCAGCAGGATGGAAAGATGCAAGCAAATGGACAGAGAGAAACTGGCTTAACTATGTGTTTGAAATTATTCAGGCAGAGATAATCTCCGAAATCAACCAAGACAAGCCGTGGGAAGAAAAAACAGCAACAATTCAAGAGAA